AAATTTATAGGGTTTGGGGGGGGGGGGTTTTTGTGGCGTCCGGGGGATTCCGGGGGGGGGTAACAAAATTCCCGGGAGGGGGGGGAAGGGCGTGGAAAGTCCCGCCAAAAAAATTCGCAAACGTTTGGGGTGGGGTTGGGGATGGGGAAAAAGTTTTTCCCACAAAAAAATTTTGGGGCAGGTGGAAAAGGAAATTTTTTCCCAATTTGGGGTTTTTTTTTTGGGGGGGGGTCAAACCCCGTTTTTTGTTCCCTTGGCACACAGACTGGGGTTTTTTTCCCCGGGGTTTCGGGGCCCCCCCCCCCCCCCCCCCCCTGAACGCACGACAGCACGGAATCCGCCTCAGACAGAGGTCTGAATCCACCCCCTCGCAACGACCGCCTGTCGCACGCCTCAGGCTGAAAACGAATGTCATGCTTGCTGGGGTAGTCAAGCTCTACTCCACCCCCCGACGCCCTTGAAACAAACAGCAGTGGCAACGAAACACGTTTGCAACAGGACGTTCCCAACCTCTATTATAATAGTGGTAGAGTCAGCCAAGGGGGGGATGAGAGACAAACAAGACAAGGCTGACCCATAGCATGCTGGCAGCAACAGCAAATAACAACAACGGCGGCCTAAGATCACTCCGGTTTCACAGCTGCCTTTGCCTGCAAGGAGGCCTCCCTCTCGCCGTCAGGCACGACAACATCAACGCGCCGCTGGTTGTTCAGTACTTAGTAACGCTAATTTACATCGCAGGCCGTGTACTCTTAACGCTGCCGGCTTCCACTGACCGGGCTGTCCATTCCCAAGAAAATCAACACAAAAGACAACCACGACCGACAAGTATTGTACTGCTTGCTGTATGCATATGAAAATGAAAATATACTTGAATCGAACGCTCATTTTGACGCCGGCGTGTCTCCTGCTGCGTCCTCTTCCCTGGCCACTTTCAACTTTGCCCTGTTTCGTTGTTGCGGAAGGGAGGGGCAAACGGGGTACGGGTGGGGGCAGCGGGTTAGCCATTGACGAGTGGAGTCGCTCATATGCCATACATTGGTCAGATGCCATGTTCGTATCACCACGGTGTTGCAAAAAAATCGGCCGTACAGCACAGCAACCCGAGCCGGCCTGAGGAGAAGCCCAGAAAATTGACGGAGGCGTGATGCGATAGATGAGCTGGGGCGCGTGTGCATGTGTCCTAAGGTTGCATCCACATTGCAGGAGCCATGCAGTTCAAACATCTGCCGCCGCATCAACGCAACAGCTCAGTGGCATATGTCGGTTTACTATTACACCATGCATCAGCACGAGCAGAAAAGCATACCAAGGCAAGCGCGCTTCTTTTGGTGCGGCGCTGGTTGATGGTTGACTACTGACAGGCAAACCAGATATCCATAGTGGTACTTCGCAGGGATGCAACGGATGCCGTCTTGGGGTGGCCTCGTAGGACTGGGTAGGCTCTCTCTCTCTCTCTCTCTCTCTCTCTCTCTCTCTGTCTGTCTCTCTCTCTCTCTTTCTCGCGTGCAGCCTAACTCTTCCACGCTCTCCCGTGGGAATCAAATCGTGGTGACACCTACGTGCCGATGTCACTCTACAAGGGCTTGTGTCTTGCTTGTGCCATATCATACGTGTTCTCTCCGGCGGTGGCTCCATGTCGTTGACGTGTTTTCTAAAGCCGGGGTTAGGAATTGTTTTAGCAACCTACCGACAAGTCCGTGAATTCACACTAAACATGCCGCGTGAGCATACGGCAACCCAACAGGTAATGGGCATCTGATTTTTACCTGAGCTCCTCGAGCTCCTTCTTCTTCGCCTGCTGGTCCATTCGCTTCGCCATCTTTGCGGGCTGGCCAACACAAAAATTGATGACAAAAAATCGTTTTGGTCAGCGTGGGCGGTAGGTAAGCCGAGACGTTGAGCGCGGTGCGGTTCACAGCGTACTCGCGGACGGGAGATTCAGGGGGGGCGACAACAACGAAGTCCACACGCGCATGACCTTCAACTCGATGGCTAACGTAGTGTGCAATAGCTGATTTGTCTGCGTGTAACGGCTCCGATCCCCTTCACACACTGATACAACTCTGTTAACACAGGGGCCATTTGGATATTCGAATTTACATCCGAACGCCCCGAATACATCAAACAGAGTGGTAAGCGGTTGTAAGCCTCTCCGATACATTCACGCCGTACACGACGAGGAGGTGCAAACGAGAGACACATCAAGACGTATCTTCCAACCCCACAAGCAACCCACCATTGAAAAGGAACCACCAAAACCACCACCACCACCACCACCATATTATGATCATGGTCCTGGGTGGAGAACACACGAGCAAGCAGAGGCTCAGCCAGAGGGAAACTTTAAAGAAAACCACCCAACAAAAAGGGAACAGGAAAACAAAAGGAACCAAAGGACAAATAAAAAAGAAAAAAGTGCAAATCGTCTTGCCTGGTAGTAGAGGACGATGAGGTACCGCCCGCACACGTTGAAGCCGCTCAGGTGGTCCACCGCCGCCTTTGCGTCGTAGATGTCATCATACACCACGAAGGCCGTCCCCCTGGTGTCCTGCCTGTCTCCCAGTCGGATCTGTCAACCCGGAAGAACACGGTCAAAAGTCGTCGGAAAACAGGGATACCGTTAAGGAACGCACTCCTACGCTAGCTATCGTGGACCGGGTACGTGCCGAACGCGATAACACCGGTTGAAGATATGGAAGGGGACTTCGTTACAAAACAAAGTCGATGGTCTCGCCTGGCCGAGAAAAAAGAACGGTATCTCTAAGGCGGTTTCCGGGTGTTTCAGGCGGTGTTCGGAAGCTTTGTTGTTTCCTGCTGAACCTTGGAGAAACACTGCATGAAACTGAGCGCGGAGTGTATTTTTAAGTTCGATCCAAATGATGAGTAAAACCACGCATTAATGTTTGTGCACCGGCTGTACAATGCCAATTCAATTGGGCGGTTTCCGGGTGTTTCAGGCGGCGTTGGGAGGGAGGCCTGGCTCCTTGAAAGTAAACCCTACTGCCTGACAACCATCCACCCTTCACTAGCAGGATCAAGGAAGTCAGCAGCACCAGTTTACACGCGCTCCTCTACGTTTGCTTTTTGGGTCGGAATAGGGTGATACAATATGGTACAGGGTGGAACGTGGTGTGGCGTGTCGTGGTAGATTCCATGACCTAACGTACCTGGCGGATGGCGCCGTACTTGCCAAAAATGTCGTACATTTCGTCCGCGGAAATCTTGAAGGGGAGGTTTCTGAACGAGAGCCAAAAACCGGAGCAGCGCACATTTCCAGTGGCGAGGAACGGAAAGGTCAGGGACGGGATTTCTACGTGTTGAAACAGGTACTGTTGAATAATGTGCCCATTGTGCGTGTGATATCCGGCGGATTTCCGGGCGAACATGAAAACAATTCCCTATGATACGTGGGGGTGTTTGATTTAATTAATTGTTTGGGTTTGGGGAGTATATGGGGGTGTTTGATTTAATTAATTGTTTTTGGGTTTGGGGAGTACATATCGAGCACGGGGACACAAACTGATTGACGAATACGATGACTATCATGTTCAAGAGCAATCCAGCCTCTTCTGATGCTTGTTCAAAATTTTAGCCATTTGGTGCCAATTCCACAACACGGGGCGACGGAACTCGCAAACCAACAAGCACCAAAACAGGGAGTCAGTCTGCTGTACGTGCCTACCCTACACGCAACCATCCCAGAAGAACGCGCCGCTTATCTGCACCACAATTCCGAGGCGAAAGGCTCGCCTTCGAGCCCGCTTTCGCGCCTTGTACGCTATGCATGCATACTGTATACGGTATACGGTATACGGTGCTACAGTAGAGGGCCCTTTTTAGTGCCGATTGAGTAGTTCGAGCCCGCTTTCGCGCCTTGTACACTGTGCGTGCATACGGTACACGGTATAACGGTATACGGTACTACAGTAGAGGGCCCTTTTTAGTGCCGATTGAGTAGTTCGAGCCCGCTTTCGCGCCTTGTACACTGTGCGTGCATACGGTACACGGTATAACGGTATACGGTACTACAGTAGAGGGCCCTTCTTAGTGCCGGTTGAGAAGTGGTGATGTCCGGTGTAGGGCCCGTTTAGTCGGCTGGCAAAGAGTGAGGGAATCACCAAGTCGTTCCGTACTTTGAACACTGTCTTGTATCTGGCATAGCGCCGGTCAATCATCTAGGCACATAACGGCACTAAACAGGCCCCCCCCAACGGTGAATCGAAAAACCCAGAAAAACGGGCCGGGGCGACAAAAGGCCACACCTCAGAACAATACGCCATTTAGATCAAGAACTCCATGAACGGGAAGAAGAGAGATAAATAGCTCACCTGACATAGACGGCTCTGTTCACTTCTGGCGGGAGCCGCATCTGGGTGAGGGGGGGGGGGGGGGGACAGCCAGCACGGAATGAACAGATGGGTACATGGAACATCATGGGGGCGGACGGCTAAGGACAAAATCGGGCCAACACAAGTCGTCATAAGGCACAGATGGAAAACAGAGTCCTGACCAACAAAGGTAGCGAACCAGAAGCTCACCACTACGCGCACTCAATAAAGCCTCCTGAACGTCCACAGTGCGGTAGATGAATGAGAGGCCGTTTCCCCCGCCAAGTGGCGGTGCAAGCCTCCCACTAGCCTCATCCCAAAGCAGGACCCCACCAATGAGAAGAGATGTGCGGTGTATTTTTCTCAAGAATAACATCGCCCCGGGCTACAATAGTGTGTATTTCTCGGACCAAAATCGCTCGCGTTCACCGGCTGACAAATGGAGAGACGACGGTCTCAGCGGGTACAAAGGCTACTCTGTACAACGCTACCGGGGAGGGGGGGGGGGGGGGGGGGCCCCCCCCCCCCTCTTTTTGAAAAAAAAGGGTCCCTTTTTTTTTGTTTTTGAAACACCTCCGCCCCGGAAGGGGGCCCAAAAAAAATTTTATATATCCTTAGGGTCCGCCCGGTTTTTATTTACAAGGGTTTGGGGCGGGTGGGGGGCCCTTTTCCCCCCCCCCCCCCAAGGGGCAAAAAGGGGGGGGGGGGGGG